GTCATAATAATCTAATATCATATATAATAGTACAACAGCCACAGGGGGCATTTACTTTTATTACTTTTAATACACTTGTCATGGAGAACTTTGGCGCCCTCTGGTGGTGAACAGATAAACTATGTATTATATATATATATACACATATCTCTTATCGCCTGTACACACTGTATATATATCTCAGTACATTCACATTCACTGTATATTCTTTAAATATCTCTCCTTCGTATCTTTAAATAACTCTTTAAATGCTGAATTGCATTAAAGAATATACTTTACTATTTGACTTTTTGTCATACTGGAATCAAATGAGGGAAATGTTCAGTCCTGTTTTGAAACATAAATATGGAAGCTAAATTGACTTCCAAGCGTTACTTAAAAGATATAACATTATTTATTTATAATGATGACCTGGCCAGAGGCAGCGACAGGAGGCAAGTCAATGCAGCAATTAAAACACAGATACAGATAAGATTTAAGTAACTGTGATCCTGTACCGACTCTACTGAATGTGTCTCTAACAGGAGGAGACTCGCCTTCCTACAGAGAACACAGAGACACTGAGGAATCAGGCCAGACTCCAAACCCAGGATAAAAGAGGTTCAGTGAATGTGCTGTTGAAGGTGTGGAGGTGGATCAGTGTGTCAGAGGAGACTCTGTAGAAGGACAGAGTGCCAGCAGGACAGTCCTCATACACTGCTACTCTGTTAGAGACAGAGGAGGAGGGAGGAGGGAGGAGGAGGAGGAGGAGGACTGTGTTAATTGTTTATTGTGAAAGACAGTGTAACCATCATCAGAGCTGTCCAGACTCCAGGACTGATCATTCTCTCCAAACCTGCATTCAGCTCTTCTTCCACTCCTGCTAATTCTCTGTAACTCACTGCCATATAAACCCCTCCACTCCACTCCACCTCCCAGTAACAGCCACCAGTCAGACCATTTGTACACACAGCAGCTGAGGACATTTCTCAAATCTGTCTGGATGATCAGGATATGGTTGATCCTCCTTCCAAACATCACCATCCTGTTGTTGTCAGACAGTTTGATGTTTCTGTTCACTGTGTTTGTGTCGATTTGAGTTCACAGGAATCTGATGGAGAGAACAAGACACACATACAGCTGCAGTTATTGATACATCATCTGATCATTGATTGACACTTTGATGATGACATCAGAGCTGTGAATGAATGTGATGTCACAGTGTGGAGATGGTTGAATGTGTGCTACTTTGTTTTCACACTTACACTTCCTCAGACCTGGTCCCAACCATCCGGACTCAGCTGGCTCCACCCTGAAAGGGAGGAGGGGGGCCGAGCAGCACATCTTCTTTCAGCATGCAAAGATTACATCACTTGCACTGATACGTTCACATGTATAACTTAATAGCAAAATAAAAACCTAAACATATCAGCTGATATTTGTGCTACGTTTCATGAGTTTCGGACCATTGTCGGACTGTCTGTGTCTGCAGCAGGCCTCTTCATACCTGAGAGTGTCCAGTCTCCACTGTGGATCCTCCAGTGCAGCAGACAGCAGCTTCACTCCTGAGTCTCCTGGATGATTGTAGCTCAGGTCCAGCTCTCAGATGGGAGGGGGTTGGAGCTCAGAGCTGAGGCCAGAGAAGCACAGCCTTCCTCTGTGATCAGACAGCCTGACAGCCTGCAAACACACAAAACAACACAAATGGCAGATCATCTGAAAGTACTGGGAATTCTGACATTTAAACCACATAGAGATAATATTTTAGGAAAATATCTCAAGTCATAAAAATAACTTGTTCTGACCTGAGAGTTTCCAGTGTACAATGTGGACTCTTCAGTCCAGCAGACAGAAGCTTCACTCCTGAATCCTGGAGGTTGTTGTCACTCAGGTCCAGCTCTCTCAGACTAGAGGACTGGGAGCTGAGAACTGAGGACAGAGCTTCACAGCTTCTCTCTGAGAGGTTACAGCCACTCAGTCTGGAGAGACAAAAGTAAAGTTAAAATACAAATACTAACTGTTCTCTCCTCCTGTGTATCTAAAATATCAATATAGGCAAATATCTACATGCTTACAGAGCTTTGTTGGAGGCTTTGACCACTGGCAGCAGCCTCAGAAGAGCCTCCTCTGAAGCACAGTATTTCTTCAGGTCAAACACGTCCAGATCTTTTTCTGATGACAGTAAGATGAAGACCAGAGCTGACCACTGAGCAGGAGACAGTTTATCTGTGGAGAGAACTTCCTGAACTCAGAGACTGTTGGATCTCCTCGACAAGAGAGAAGGATCATTCAGTTCATTCAGACAGTGAAACAGATTGATGGTTCTCTGGATGCGGGTTGTCCTCAATTTTCTTCTTGATGTACTGGACTATATCCTGATTGGTTTTTGAGCGACTTCCTGTCTGTGTCAGCAGGCCTCGTAGGAGAGTCTGATTGGTCTGCAGTGACAGTCCAAGGAGGAATCGGAGGAACATGTCCAGGTGTCCATTTGGACTCTGTAAGGACTTGTCCACGGCACTCTGGTAGAACTGTGTCTCTGCAGATTCATCTTCTCTTGTTTCAGACTTCTTGGAGGTTGATTGTTCTTCTGTCATCAGATTGGCTCCAGAGCTGATGAATGTCAGATGGACATGAAGAGCAGCCAGAAACTCCTGAACACTCAGATGGACAAAGCTGAAGACCTTGTCCTGGTACAGTCCTCTCCTCCTCTTTAAATATCTGTGTGAACACTCCTGAGTACACTGAGGCTGCTCTGATATCGATGCCACACTCTGTCAGGTCTGATTCATAGAAGATCAGGTTGCCTTTCTGCAGCTGCTCAAAAGCCAGTTTTCCCAGAGACTCAATCATCTCCCTCGTCTCTGGACTCCAGTGAGGATCTGTCTCAGCTCCTCCATCATACTTGATCTTCTTCAGTTTGGACTGAACCACCAAGAAGTGGATGTACAAGTCAGTCAGGGTCTTGGGCAGCTCTCCTCCCTCTCTAGTCTTCAACACATCCTCCAGAACTGTAGCAGTGATCCAGCAGAAGACTGGGATGTGACACATAATGTGGAGGCTTCGTGATGTCTTGATGTGGGAGATGATTCTGCTGGCCTGCTCCTCATCTCTGATTCTCTTCTTGAAGTACTCTTCCTTCTGTGGGTCAGTGAACCCTCTGACCTCTGTCACCATGTCAACACACTCAGGAGGGATCTGATTGGCTGCTGCAGGTCGTGTGGTTATCCAGAGGCGAGCAGAGGGAAGCAGGTTCCCCTGATGAGGTTTGTCAGCAGCATATCCACTGAGGTGGACTCTGTAACATCAGTCAGGATCTCAGTGTTGTGGAAGTCCAGAGGAAGTCGACACTCATCCAGACCGTCAAAGATGAACACAACCGGGAACTCTTCAAACCTGCAGATTCTTGCTTCTTTAGTTTCAGTAAAGAAGAGATGAACAAGTTCCACCAAGCTGAACTTTTTCTCTTTCAGCACATTCAGCTCTCTGAAAGTGAATGGAAATGTGAACTGTATGTCCTGGTTGGCTTTGTCTTCAGCCCAGTCCAGAGTGAACTTCTGTGTTAAGACTGTTTTCCCAATGCCAGCCACTCCCTTTGTCATCACTGTTCTTATTGGTTCATCTCTTCCAGGTGAGGGTTTAAAGAAGTCTTCTTGTCTGATTGTTGTTTCTGGTCTGTCTGGTTTCCCTGGATGTTGTTTGAATCTGTCTGACCTCATGTTCATCATTGACCTCTGCAGTCCCTCCCTCTGTGATGTAGAGCTCTGTGTAGATCTGGTTCAGAGGGGTTGGGTTTCCTCCTTTAGGAATCCCCTCAAACACACACTGGAACTTCTTCTTCAGCTTAGATTTAAGTTTACGCTGACAATCAGACTCACTTCCTGAATGAACACACAATAAATAAGATCATGAAGAGACTTTAATGGTTAAAGAAACATATTTTCCACAATCTCTTGAGACATCAGTAAATGTCTCATTTATCCAGCGAGTTAAATCTTTAGAGAAATTCTCTTACTGCTCTGCAGACAGTCAGCCAGCTCCTCCTGCTTCATTCTCCTCAGGAAGTTACTGTGATCTTCAGAAATGCCCTCTGCTGCTCCTCCTCTGCTCTTCATCCTCACCGTCCAACACCTCCTCATCCTCCCTCTTACTCTCTGAGCATTCTGAACTCAGAACCTTCTGGATCTTCTTCAGCTCGTTCTTCACAAAAGTGACAATGTTGTCCTCCAGCAGCTGGAACAGAATATTATATGAATGACTCAATCAAAGTCCAATCATGGAAGCAAACATCAGATCCATGTTGGACAGACAATCCACTGGTCTAAAAAGTGCAGCATGGAGATTATTGTGAACACAATAGATGTAAAAGTAGTTGTTGTCCATGTACAGACCATAAATATGGAGTCCAGGTGTGTTTGATGCTGCTGGGCAGACTGACCACTGGGAATCTCTGAGCTCTCCTGGTCCACTCTGTGGAGGAATCATGAAGAATGAGCTCACATTATGTCTGTCCACACAGAGACAAACACAAGGTAAAGGTCCTTTGAGTTAAAGTGTTGATTACAACATTGAATCAGATGGTTTCCCCTAGCAAGTGCAACAAAAACCCCACAAACAAAAAGCTAATAATTAATTTTTAACGTTAAGGAACAGTTTAAATACAGGCATTGTTTTTCTTGACGCAATGCAGATCTTTTCAATTGTCAGGCATATACTTTGGATTGATTTTAATAACTTTAATGTTCTTGAAGTATGGAATGTGCACCTGTATTATCAAGGATCACATCGCAACAAGGTATTGGCAGATACTCAATATGATATGAAAAGACCAAAGAATCTTGATCGGGACCTCTAGTTCACACCGAGGAACTTAAAGCTATTGCCGGCCAGGAAGTCAAATATCCAGCTGCAGGTTTCCAGTCCAATTCCACTGATAAGCTTACAGATGTTTTGAGGAAATGGATGTATTGATTGCCGATGTGTAATCACTGAAGAGAATTCTTACCTATGTATTCCCTTTGTGGGATGAGGGCAGTGTATGCCTGTTTGGCCTGTATGTGAACTGGTGCAGCTATTGAGGTAAAGCCTTGAGAGTTCTCTAGCTAGGAAGCACTGGCAGTCAACAATCTGCCCAAGGAAATCAGGTCAGCTGGGTCAGTGGTCGATCTTAAGTCCCTTAAACAGACTTTTATCGGAGGGCCTTTCCTGATTTTACTTGAATTTTAATGTTCGGAAGTATCTTTTTACTATTGTTTTACTTTCTTTTTTTACTAATTGTTTTGATGATTGATGATTTTATAACTTCCTTATCTACACAACTGAGAATCTGACACCAACACACTGTTTTTTTCTTCAACAGAGTAACGTTTCACATACCTCGCTCTCTTCCTGGACACACTGCTGCGTTTTGGTTTTTCCAGCTTCCTCCTGATAGGAACACAAAAAAACAGCATATAATCTGCACTGCACCCAGAACACAGTGAAACAATGTACTGACAACAACTCTTCTTAAAGGAACTCCAGAGTGAATCAATGTAAACAGTTCTCTTATGTTGTAGGAAAACAAAGAGCTGACATATGATTGTGAACACTCACAGACATAACTGAGTACTTCCATCAGCAGCATCAAGAAGAAACCAACTGTGTGTTTCCTCAGACTCTCTTTGGTTGTTCATTCTGTGTTTTAGAGCAGCTGATCTCAGTCCAGCTGTTATCACTGACATGTTTCTATTTTTGTTGTCACATGACTGAAAACGAAGATGTTGATTTGATGGAGGAACTCAGTGGAGTCAGGGTTAGCCTTGGTTAGCAGTTAGCATCTGTTAGCCTCAATAAAATCACTGTTTAATACTCGTGTGTAGAGAAAATGTAATACTGAAGTCAGGAGTTGAAGACTGGTTAAACTAGGCAGCTTTCAGATGGGAGAATATAAATCGAAGAAGAATGATGCTGATAACAAAAAAACAAACAAACAGATTTTAAAAAAGATGAAACAAGCACCAATACTATTTGAATTAGCTGTGATGTGTAATGTTAACAGCTGACTTTACTAAAGCTTTACTGTTATTGACACATAACAAAGTGAACTGTCATCAGCAGCGACACTGTTGGCCTGTATTTTAAGTAGAGCTGCACGATATTGGAAAAAAATGACACTGCAATACCTCATTGTAGTAGAAGGTTGTCCTTTAAACTCAATGCTGCGAACCACTGACCGGTCCAGGGATACACAGCTGGGTTCAGGTCCATCTTCAGGTTCAGCAGAGTCTAGTTCTCCATAGATCCTGTTAGACAGAGAGGAAGAAGATGGAAATTAACTTTTTAGTCTTCAGACACACAACCTGCAGGAGAAACTAGCAGCTATCAACAAGAAAAGGATAAACACAACGACCTTCAATAAACGTGAAAGTGAATGATTTCTGTGTATCATCGCTTCATTTTTCCATAAAGTACAGCTGCACGATATTGGGAAAGAATTGTGATACCTCTTTGTAGCAGAGGGTTGTCGTCCTTTAAACTCATCGATGCGACCCATTGACCGGTTGCTCTTTAAGGACACACAGCTGGGTCCAGGTCCAGGTCCAGGTCCAGGTCCAGCAGAGTCTGCTGTGTTCTGCTGCTCTGGGCTTCAACACAACACACACAGAGCTTTGAGTGTGAATAATGATGGTGCAGTGATCTGACTGCTGAGCTGTGACATGGAGAAGAGTCATGGACAGTTAGAGATCCTCATCTCACCTCTGAGCTTTGGTCTGGCTGTCATGTTCCCCCAACAGAGTCCTTTTAGAGGGAGGGGCTCCCTCCTCTCTGTCCTCACACTGACTCATGCTGCTGAACTCACATCCACATCAGCTCACACACACTTTCATCTGGAGAGGAAACACAAATCATTCATGTGCACATCAACTGAAATCATCCTTTCCATCATTTCTCCTGTAAGAAGATCAGCTGCTCCTCCAGTGATTGGCTCTTATTCTCTCTTTCATATCAGTGTCAACAATCAGAAATTACATTCATTCAGTCACATTCAAAGACACACTGATTGAATTTAATGTCAAAGATCTGACAATAAAGCGTTCTTCATTTATATCATTTAAAAAGTAATCTGTGATCATGCAACAGCAATCCTGCAGTTTACGTTTGCACCACCAGATGGCGCCACATGATTTCTAAAGACAAACAGGAGGCTGGTTCATGTGTTCATGTGTGTCTCCAACAGGCAGTAAATGTTCCTCTGACAACACAGAATAATAAAATCAATATTTATCGTCTTTAAATTAGGTTTTTGTTTTTAAGTAAATTCCTCTTGAAGTCAACAGCTGCTTTTAAACTCACTTTGTCTCATAAACTTTCCACAATTCAAGTTCCCACATTGAATGCAGCATGATGATGCAGTCTGGATGTTTTTTAAACTAACTTTATTGTTTAAAGGTTCAATATTTCCTCTGAAATGTAGTAAAGTATAAATATGTCTGCTATGTTCACAATCAGAGATATAGTCACTGAGCAGAGCAGTTAAACCGGTTTATTGTTGCAGTATTTATGAATTTAAAAGCTCTGAAAGTTAAAAGAAGTTAGAAAAGCAGGAAGATCCTTCCAAAATAAAAGTCTGACTCAATACAGTCCCTTTAGAAATGATTAAAACATTAAAGTAAATCTGTTTGATTATTGATCACATTTATGTACAAACTGACATAAAGAAGCGACTCTACTTCCTGTTGGGGTAAACAGTTAATTAAATACTGTTAATGAACTCAATACTGATTGAATTCAAAGATATAAACATAATATATAATAGAGATATAATGACAGAGCATCCAGCGGCTGTACAACATAATATATAATAGAGATATAATGACAGAGCATCCAGCGGCTGTACAACATAATATATAATAGAGATATAATGACAGAGCATCCAGCGGCTGTCCGCCACAGAGCGAAGCCGCGTTTAGTGGCTCAGACAGCGGGAGAGCAGCGGCTCGTCTCCGCCTCCTCCACAGGCTGATTCAGGCAGCAAAATGTGCCTTCAGTCATCAGTAAGTGCTGTTACACAGTAAGAAGCACTCTGTGTTCAACTACTGAGCATCAACGGACTCTACTTGGACTCTTATTTTTACTGTACACTCACTAACAGACACACAAAATGGCGGACAGATATTGGCCTGTATTTAAAAACGGTTGTTTGAGCTGCTTCGTCCCGAGTTTCCAGCAGAGAAATGAACAATGGAGGCAGATTGTTGCTGTTTCTAGTGGAAATAAACTAACGACAGCTTGTGTTAACGAGGAAAACATTAAACACTTGTTCCATTACCTTCAGCTGGAGGTTGAGACGGAGAAAACCAACTGCGACACTCCTTCAGAGAAAGTGAAAGTAAACTATAAACAGGCAGTAGGAGGAGACAGTGAAACTTATGGAACAGATTCTTTAAGTCTATAATGAGATACTTTCTCAAAATAATGACTTAGTATTTCAATATTTTGACTTAGTATCTCAATATAATGAGAAGCCTAAATTAGAATAAGCCTGTGTTCCTCATATGCTCCAAGCAATAGAAGATGGATGCACCAGAAATGTTGGATGGCCAGGATACTTACCGTTATGGTGAGTCTTATGACAGCTGGTTCTACCTGAATTTAGAAATATTATTTTGTTATTCACTATTTTTGTATAATGTTGAATGCATTTAGAATTGAGCTGTCTTGGTTGATTATTTTTTTTTTACCTTGTAGTAATTTCTGGTGCATCCATCTGTAGCCACGCTGTCTGTCAGACATTTCTAACTGCTGGTCAATGAAGGATGCTACTTCAGCTACATCTGTCTTATTCCGTCTCCGTCAGTGCAGATTCTTTTGTAGCTTTCTCTCTAGGGTCCGGAGATTTAGTTTGATATTATGTAATTCCTCCAATTCCTATTTTGAGAAAGTTTCTCATTATAATCACATAAATAATCATTTTTCCCGTCATATTGGCAGAAATTGGTTTCCATAGTAAACTTCACTTCAAACAGGGAACACAATGTGTGTGTGTGTGTGTGTGTGTGTGTGTGTGTGTGTGATAACGTGTAATGTAACATGTGAAGATAAAATACATGTTGACCTTTAGATAGCTGTATGTTCAGATGTTTATTTGTAGTTCCTTTGCTTCCAGAAAGCAGCTTTAGTGAGTTTTTTAAAACCCACTTTAACTGTTAATTATTGTGGTAACTTTGTTTAAAAAATGATTATCTGTTTGTATAAATCAAAACTAAAATAAGTGAAACATCATTTGTACATTTTGAAATGCTAAAGAGACTAAAATCATTAACTAAAATCATTTAACTGTACATACAGTATAAACAATACATTTACTTCTACAATATTTTAAGATTATTTTTTTGAAATTTGTGAGAGCAATAAGCACCGAGTTTTATAAATTCAGGTTAAAAATGATTAAGAATATAAATAAAAATAAGTATTTTTACAACATATTTCTTTCTGTCAATACTTTCTGCTCAATGTGGGAATTATGTATGAATAAAGTGATACAACAACATTCATCTATCGTTTATTTAATGACGCAGGATAATACAAGAATAACAGCTCGTACACCGCAGTGTATGTTGCAGGTCTGACCAAGAGGTTTAGATACAGTCACATATTTGTACTGTAAATTATACGAGTTAGTTACAGAGTACATGTTAGTAAATCATCTCAGCACTGAGCTCAGGAGAGGAGAAAGGAGAATCACAATGTTATCTTATCACCTGTAGACAACAAAGCAGTTTTCTCACATACACAAATGTATCGTACAAATGTTCATCACACACAGATCAACATTTACACACTAAATACTTAAAAAACTCCTCAAAGAAATAACTCACAGTGCTCTTTATTCATAAATTCTGCTGCTAACACTCCAGACTGCAGACAGGACTGGATACACTTGTCATGGAGAGCTTTGGCCCGCTCTGGTGGTTAAAAGAGAAACTAGAAGTGTTTTATATCAAACATATCACACTGTACATACTGTATATATATCTCAGTATATTTATATTCATGGAGTTAGATGCTGACCTACATTTTGTTTAATCTACTTTTTACTATTTGTCATCCTGGAATCAAATGAGAGAAATGTTCAGTCTAGGTTCAATCCTGTTTTGAAACTAAAACCTGGTCACTCTTTAAACTCTTCAGGAGTCAGAAAGCAGCCGGTTCCCCTCCCACCTCATTCCTCCTCAAAGAAAGCAGATATTTACATTCATTTACACGAGGCATGGGACAATATGAAAATGATTTCATTCAAACTGCAATACACAATATTATAAAAATAATCATGAAAATATTCTTGATACTTTTAAAATGTCTTCAAAACATACTGGAATCACTTTACCTACATTTTGTAGAGAAACACATGTTTATTTTATCACAGACAGGAACCTCATCTCCCTGTTTTTTATTTGGGAATCTACACTATTTCCACATATCCAGTTGAACCTTTATTTGTGGGATACAACGGGCAAACCAAGCCTTCAGCCATGGTGACAGGATTAGGGTTTTGGAATGACTGGAAATATGTGGGCTCCCTCTTGTCCCCTTATTCAAAATAAATCATGAAGTCAATATAGGACTGTATGCTGGATACATACATTTATATATATATATATATATATCCCCAATCATATACATAGTGAACATATAAATACAAACACATGGAAGATAAAGCAACAGGGAAAGAATAAATTAAAAGAGAGACGGCTAAAGATAAGTAAAGAAACAAGGAGATCTATATATCTAAGACCTACAGGGGAGGGTTTTAAGGAGCTGCTCAAAACAGTCCATCTACTCAGATAATCTGAGTGTTTGGGGAAGATGATTCCATAATGTTGGAGCTAAAACAGCAAAGGTCACCTTTAGTTTTGCAGTTAGAGTGGGGAATTAAAAAAAGGCCTAGATTTGAGGAGCGAAGTGGCTGAGGAGAGGAATGAGGAACAAGGAGAAATGTAACTGGGGGCAAGGTCATGAAGTGCCTTATATGTAATCAGTAAGATCTTACAGTTGATAATAAAATTTACTGGAAGCCAATGGAGGGATGCAAGAACAGGAGTAATCTCGGACCGACGGCTGGTTCTGGTGGCTGCATTTTGTACTAACTGTAAACGATTTAACGAGGCTTGACTGAGGCACGTGTAGAGGGAGTTACAGTAATCTAGACGGGAGAAAATGAAGCTGTGAATTAATGGTTTGAGATCTCTGGAAGACAAGAAGCTTCTGATTTTTGCAATATTTCATAGCTGCAGAAAACAAGTTCAGTAACATGATATTTGATAATGTGATATATTGTCCCATCCCTAATTTATAACACGACTACAACATCAAAATTAACTACTAAAAGTAGTTAGTAGTAGTAGAAGGTGTAGTAGTAAAATAAGCAATACCAGTGTGAAAACATGTAAAAGTCCTGCATTAAAAATCTTAAAAGTAGAAAAGTATGGCATTGAAACATTCTTAGTGTACTGAAAGTGAAAGTGCAGCCTGTTTCAGAATAATATACATCATATTAATGGATTTTGACAATTGTTGTAGTAGTAGTAGAGCCTTTGTTTTTTCCCAGTCAACTGTCTAATTCATAGACCAACAAATTAAATTGATTACGTTTGTATTAGGATTTAAGTTATATAACATGACTCAACCTACACTGAACACTATTACGACCATCAGCTACTTATGTAATGTTACGTTTGCAATATGTGGGGGCTCGTTCAGGTTTGAAAAAATATTGGTAAACAGATTTATTGTATCTGTTACTTCTGGTGTTAACGTTAATATAGACTGATGACTGTCGCAGGAGGTATTAGTCTGGATGTCCACTGCTAAGCCTTTATTAAGCATTAAACAGCTTCCTCTGTTAGAAAAGATGCCAGCGTCCTTTCCATCAGGCACTTGTTTATTATTTCGCCTTTGTTTTGTTTCTCAAGTTCCCCGATGGAGGTAGGCTTTTTCGAGGATCCAGCCACCAAACCTCTGCCTTTCAAGCTGCCTCTAGCCCAGCACGCTCCAGAAGAAGAAGAGGTATACTATCGGTTAGGCAGGATCTGGGGAAGGTGTTGCTGTAAGGCTGGGCTCAGTGTGTGATTGTTATTGCATGTGACATCCGACATTAATGTTATTATGTTTTACTACAGACGGATGAAGATAAAAGGCTTCATAGTGGTTCCATGTAAAAGTTTGTTGCAATATGGAAACTAAAATGAGTTCCAGTTGCACCAACGGTACTTAAAGATATAATTATTCCTTTACAATGATGACCTGGGCAAGAGCACTACTGCACCAAGACGAATTCCTCGTATGTGCAAAAACCTACCTGCCAATAAATCTGATTCTGATTCTGATTCTGAAGAGGCAGCGACAGGAGGAATGTCCATACAGCAATTAAAACGCAGATACAGATAAGATTTAAGTAACTGTGATCCTGTACAGACTCTACTGAATGTGTCTCTAACAGGAGGAGACTCTCCTTCCTACAGAGAACACAGGGACAGTGAGGCAGAAGGCCAGACTGCGAACCCAGGATAAAGAGGTTCAGTGAATGTGCTGTTGAAGGTGTGGAGGTGGATCAGTGTGTCAGAGGAGACTCTGTAGAAGGACAGAGTGCCAGCAGGACAGTCCACATACACTGCTACTCTGTTAGAGACAGAGGAGGAGGAGGAGGAGGAGGAGGAAACAGATGTTCCTCTGTTATTGTGAAAGACAATGTAACCATCATCAGAACAACTCAGCCTCCAGGACTGATCATTCTCTCCAAACCTGCATTCAGCTCTACTTCCACTCCTCCTGATTCCTCTGTAACTCACTGCTATATAAACCCCTCCACTCCACTCCACCTCCCAGTAACAGCGACCAGTCAGAACATTTGTACACAGCAGCTGAGAACACCGGGCAAATCTGTCTGGATGATCAGGATATGGTTGATCCTCCTTCACATGAATCATCTTCCTGTTGTTGTCACACAGTTTGATCTTTCTGTTCACTGTGTTTGTGTCGACTGTGAGTTCACAGGAATCTGATGGAGAGAACAAGACACAATACAGCTGCAGTTATTGATCTATCATCTGATCATTGATTGACACTTTGATGATGACATCAGAGCTGTGAATGAGTGATGTCACAGTGTGAAGATGGTTGAATGTGTGCTGCTTTGTTTTCACACTTACACTTCCTCAGACCTGGTCTCAACCATTGGACTCCAGCAGGCTCCACCCTGAAAGGAGGAGGGGGGTCAGAGCAGCACATCCTCTTTCAGCATGCAAACATTACATCACTTGCACTGATACGTTCACATGTATAACTTAATGGCAAAACAAAAACCTAATCATATCAGCTGATATTTGTGCTACGTTTCATGAGTTTTGGACCATTGTCTGACAGTCTGTGTCTGCAGAAGGCCTCTTCATACCTGAGAGTGTCCAGTCTCCACTGTGGATCCTCCGGTGCAGCAGACAGCAGCTTCACTCCTGAGTCTCCTGGATGATTGTAGCTCAGGTCCAGCTCTCTCAGATGGGAGGGGTTGGAGGTCAGAGCTGAGGCCAGAGAAGCACAACCTTCCTCTGTGATCAGACAGCCTGACAGCCTGCAAACACACAAATTCATTGAGAACACAGACTTAAGATCCTAAAAAGAAATTCTAGTATTTAGAATCCTGACATGAGAGATGCCGTTCAAAGGACCAGTGTGGAGGAGCTAGTGTTGAAGGTGGAGATTAAAACCAACTGAATCCCGAGTTTGTTCGGTTGGTCTTTACTGGCAACTGTACAAACACAGCGGTTCCTCATGGTGGATTTGCTCCTGAAGAGCTCATTCTAAGGTAATGAAAACTCAATTACTCGTATTTTCAGGTGCTTATACACTAATGAAAACATACTTATTAATATTATATTACATTTCTGCCAATAGATCTTCTTAAATGTTACACACAGGACCTTTGAACCACATATACATTATAATTTAGGGAAATATCTCAAGTCGTTCAAGAAAAAAATTACTTGTTCTGACCTGAGAGTTTCCAGTTTACAATGTGGACTCTTCAGTCCAGCAGACAGAAGCTTCACTCCTGAATCCTGGAGGTTGTTGTCACTCAGGTCCAGCTCACTCAGACTGGAGGACTGGGAGCTGAGAACTGAGGACAGAGCTTCACAGCTTCTCTCTGAGAGGTTACAGCCACTCAGTCTGGAGAGAAAAAAGTAAAGTACGTTAAAATACAAATACTAACTGTTCTCTCCTCCTGTGTATCTAAAATATCAATATAAGCAAATATCTACATGCTTACAGAGCTTTGTTGGAGGCTTTGACCACTGGCAGCAGCCTCAGAAGAGCCTCCTCTGAAGCACAGTATTTCTTCAGGTCAAACATGTCCAGATCTTTTTCTGACAGTAAGATGAAGACCAGAGCTGACCACTGAGCAGGAGACAGTTTATCTGTGGAGAGACTTCCTGAACTCAGGGACTGTTGGATCTCATCGACAAGAGAAGGATCATTCAGTTCATTCAGACAGTGAAACAGATTGATGGTTCTCTCTGGATGCGGGTTGTCCTCAATTTTCTTCTTGATGTACTGGACTATATCCTGATTGTTTTTTGAGCTACTTCCTGTCTGTGTCAGCAGGCCTCGTAGGAGAGTCTGATTGGTCTGCAGTGAAAGTCCCAGGAGGAAGCGGAGGAACAAGTCAAGGTGTCCATTTGGACTCTGTAAGGCCTTGTCCACAGCCCTCTGGTAGAACTGTGTCTCTGCAGATTCATATTTTCTTGTTTCAGACTTCTGGGAGGTTGATTGTTCTTCTGCCAGCAGATTGACTCCAGAGCTGATGAATGTCAGATGGACATGAAGAGCAGCCAGAAACTCCTGAACACTCAGATGGACAAAGCTGAAGACCATGTCCTGGTACAGTCCTCTCTCCTCTTTAAAGATCTGTGTGAACACTCCTGAGTACACTGAGGCTGCTCTGATATCGATGCCACACTCTGTCAGGTCTGATTCATAGAAGATCAGGTTGCCTTTCTGCAGCTGCTCAAAAGCCAGTTTTCCCAGAGACTCAATCATCTCCCTTGTCTCTGGACTCCAGTGTGGATCTGTCTCAGCTCCTCCATCATACTTGATCTTCTTCAGTTTGGACTGAACCACCAAGAAGTGGATGTACAAGTCAGTCAGGGTCTTGGGCAGCTCTCCTCCCTCTCTGGTCTTCAACACATCCTCCAGAACTGTAGCAGTGATCCAGCAGAAGACTGGGATGTGGCACATGATGTGGAGGCTTCGTGATGTCTTGATGTGGGAGATGATTCTGCTGGCCTGCTCCTGATCGCTGAACCTCTTCCTGAAGTACTCCTCCTTCTGTGGGTCAGTGAACCCTCTGACCTCTGTCACCATGTCAACACAGCCAGGAGGGATCCGATTGGCTGCTGCAGGTCGTGTGGTTATCCAGAGGCGAGCAGAGGGAAGCAGGTTCCCCCTGATGAGGTTTGTCAGTAGCACATCCACTGAGGTGGACTCTCTAACATCAGTCAGGATCTCAGTGTTGTGGAAGTCCAGAGGAAGTCGACATTCATCCAGACGTTGAAAGAGGAACACAACCGGAACTCTTCAAACCTGCAGATTCCTGCTTCTTTGGTTTCAGTAAAGAAGAGATGAACAAGTTCCACCAAGCTGAACTTTTTCTCTTTCAGCACATTCAGCTCTCTGAAAGTGAATGGAAACATGAACTGTATGTCCTGGTTGGCTTTGTCTTCAGCCCAGTCCAGAGTGAACTTCTGTGTTAAGACTGTTTTCCCAATGCCAGCCACTCCCTTTGTCATCACTGTTCTGATTGGTTCATCTCTTCCAGGTGAGGGTTTAAAGATGTCTTCTTGTCTGATTGTTGTTTCAGGTCTGTCTGGTTTCCTGGATGCTGTTTCAATCTGTCTGACCTCATGTTCATCATTGACCTCTGCAGTCCCTCCCTCTGTGATGTAGAGCTCTGTGTAGATCTGGTTCAGAAGGGTTGGGTTTCCTCCTTTAGGAATCCCCTCAAACACACACTGGAACTTCTTCTTCAGCTTAGATTTAAGTTTACGCTGACAATCAGACTCACTTCCTGAATGAACACACAATAAATAAGATCATGAAGAGACTTTAATGGTTAAAGAAACATATTTTCCACAATCTCTTGAGACATCAGTAAATGTCTCATTTATCCAGCGAGTTAAATCTTTAGAGAAATCCTCTTACTGCTCTGCAGACAGTCAGCCAGCTCCTCCTGCTTCATTCTCCTCAGGAAGTGCACTGTGATCTTCAGAAATGCCTCTCTGCTGCTCCTCCTCTGCTCTTCATCCTCACCGTCCAACACCTCCTCATCCTCCCTCTTACTCTCTGAGCATTCTGAACTCAGAACCTTCTGGATTTTCTTCAGCTCGTTCTTCACAAAAGTGACAATGTTGTCCTCCAGCAGCTGGAACAGAATATTATATGAATGACTCAATCAAAGTCAAATCATGGAAGCAAACATCAGATCCATGTTGGACAGACTGACAATCAACTGGTCTAAAAAGTGCAGCATGGAGATTATTGTGAACACAATAGATGTAAAAGTAGTTGTTGTCCATGTACAGACCATAAATATGGAGTCCAGGTGTGTTTGATGCTGCTGGGCAGACTGACCACTGGGAATCTCTGAGCTCTCCTGGTTCACTCTGTGGAGGAAACATGAAGAATGAACTCACATTATGTCTGTCCACACAGAGACAAAGACAAGCTAAAGGTCCTTTGAGTTAAATTATAGTGAAGAACACTGATTCAGATGATTGACCTGCCTCACTCACTGACCCAACATAATACTGTGGGCCGCTGATTGCACAAGCTGATTTGATGTTACCTAGACAGTAAAACATCAGTAAATCCAAAAACATCAGTAAATCCAAACAGAGAAACATATTATATATATGTGCAAATTGGTCGTGAGTCAAAATACACTTGTAACAGATGATGATGAAAAAGTTCCCTCATGTTGTAGGAAAACAAAGAGCTGACGTATGATTGTTAACACCCACAGACATAACTGAGTACTTCCATCAGCAGCATCAAAGAAGAAACCAAACTTAGACTCTCTGTGAACACGAGGAGGGACACTAAGGTCAAAAAATACTGAGAACAACTTACTGTCTATCAAATACATGTTGTTTATAATCAATGAGGCGACCCATTGACCGATCACTCATGAAGGACACACACGTTAGTAAAAAGGATGAACACAACAAACTTCAATAAGACATGAAACTGAATGATTTCTGTGTATCATGAATTCTTTTTTTTCCACTTTGAAGGAATTATATAAAAGGTACAGGGTACAAACTGAACTGTCGGGTACATCAGCAGAGACACTGTTGGCTTGTATTCTAAGTAGAGCTGCACGATATTTGTGGAGAATGACATTGTGATACCTCTCTGGAGCAGAGGGTTGTTGTCCTTTAAAATCCATGAAGAGATCATTTGACTGGTCACTCTTTAAGGACACACAGCTGGGTCCAGGTCCAGGTCCAGGTTCAGGTCCAGGTTCAGGTCCAGGTTCATGTCCAGGTCCAGGTCCAGCAGAGTCTGCTGTGTTCTGCTGCTCTGGGCTTCAACACAACACACACAGAGATTTGAGTGTGAATAATGATGGTGCAGTGATCTGAGTGCTGAGCTGTGACATGGAGAAGAGTCATGGACAGTTAGAGATCCTCATCTCACCTCTGAGCTTTGGTCTGGCTGTCATGTTCCCCCCACAGAGTCCTTTTACAGGGAGGGGCTCCCTCCTCTCTGTCCTCACACTGACTCATGCTGCTGAACTCACATCCACATCAGCTCACACACACTTTGATCTGGAGAGGAAACACAAATCATTCATGTGCACACCAACTGAAATCATCCTTTCCATCATTTCTCCTGTAAGAAGATCAGCTGCTCCTCCAGTGATTGGCTCTTATTCTCTCTTTCATATCAGTGTCA